CCCAAGACCAAGTGTGAGGACCTGTAATGTTCAAATGGGGAAGGCCAGTCTGAAATGGTGAAAGGAGGTAGCCTGAATCCAGCAGCTCAGTGTTCTGTCCCGTCATGAGTGTCGGTCGGAGAGGGTGGTTGTGGCCCTCGCACTCTCTCTTTTGAGTGTGAGCTAAGTTACTGGGTTACGCAGCCTGAGAAGGGACAGTTGAGACATTGCTGGACTCAGAAGACTCGGGCACCACATGTAGCTTTCCTGCAGGGTTTCAGAGGGCTGCTCCTAGATCCCTACGGGGAAGTCAGCAAAGGCAGTCAAGGCCTGGAAAGTCAAGAGTTAGAGGGAATGGGCTCGGTATAGCCTGGGTTCTGTCCTGCGTCTGCGTCCTCCCTGCACCTGGCCTGGCAGGGTTTGACCAGGTGAGGAGCTGATGCAGGCTGTCGACTCCACCTTGGCTTCCGCAGGCTCCGTGCCATGGCTTCAGATGACTGCTCACAGCCTTGGCGTGCAGCACCTTTTTACTGGTAGTGACTTGTTTGGGGGGGGGGTCTTACCTCTTATCTGACCCCCCTCCAAAAAAAAGTACAAGGTGCTCCAAGGTGCTTTTTATGAGCCTTTCCAGTAATGGCCTATCATATTAACTTACACTCTTATGCTAAAAATAATCATGTAACTTTTATTTTTCTCCTTATGAGAATGAGAGAGCAAGAACTTGCAGGAGGAAGAGAGAGAGATATGGGTATTTAAAAACTTTTTATTGGGGACCAGCAGGTGGCATTTGATGGTTAGGGTACTGGACTCCTACATGGTCAACCACAGTTTGAGTGCCAGACCCATGGACTTAAAAATTACTCCAGGTGTGTATGCATGCATGACCAAAATTCTGAGAGGAGAAGGGATTGTAGTGTGGCCACCCTTCAGCCCCCCCGGAGGGGGTGATTTCTCTTTTCCTCTTTCTGTCGAGTGCACATACCCTATGGCAAAAACCTAGAACAAAACAAAAAATACTATTTATCTTTTAGACAAGGACTCACTATGTCGTGATTCTCTTGCCTCAGCTTCCCGGCTGTGACTACAGGTGTGCGTCACCATGCCTAATTTTTTTAGACAGGGTCTTGCTGTATGGCCCAGGCCCACCTTGAGCTTGCAGTCCTCTTGCTTCAGCCCCCAAGTCTCTGGTATTACGGGTGTATGCCACCTCACCCAGCCTTTAGGTTGAACTGGGAATCCGATCCAGGCCTCCCACGTGGTCCCAGCCTGCAGAGCAGTGTCTTAGCAGCACACCCCACCATGGCCAAACCAAGAATGGTGGTGTTTGACTGTGTCTCACTGCCTCGCGGTCCTTCCTGTCCGGGACTCCCAGTTAGCTAGGACTACAGGTGCCCCCCTGTGACTGTCCACTTCGGATTGGGCTGGTACTGAACCTCGGCCTCTCATGCAACTCCAGCCGTCACCCGGAGCCACAACTTTGATGTCTGATAACGTTAGGTTTTATCTGTACTGCCCGCTTGCACAGAGGCCTGAGAAACCACGGTTTCTGCTCTGTCCTCCTGCTGGCATGGTCTTTTGTATTCAGCTCCTATGTCACAAATCTGGGAGCAAGTTGCCCCGACTTCTTTTTACCTGTCCCCCCCGCCCAGTCGCTTCTGTGCAGTTCTCTGACCCATTCCTTAGACCCTCTTTAGCTCCGTTCTCCAGGCTTCTCCTTCCTGTGTGTGTTGTTCCCCACCTGACGTCCCTTCCCAGAGAGAGGCAACTCCCCTCTTGCAAAAGTCGGTGAACTCAAGTTCCGGATGACCAGGTTCTTAGTATTTTCTAGGTGCTGAAGGTTTTAAGCTGGCTTTAATCGCCTAAGTCCTTCACTGCTGATGAAATGTTAGATGTTAAATGGGTCTGATCGGAGACAGCTCCAGGTATTTTCTTATAAAGGTAAACAGAAATTGCCTTGGGCTATGAAACTGTTTCTGAAATGGATTCCATGAAAACCACAACAGGAATAAAAGGAAGAACATGGTGAAACCATTTGTTTTCTTTTTTGAAATTTTCTGTAACTATTTTGATGTCATTTCAAACTCATTGAAAAGTTGCAAAATAGAAACAAAAACATCCAAGAGACTCCCAAATATCCTTTACCCAGATTTACCAACTGTTTACATTTTGCTGTCTCCCCTCATGTGTGCATTGTTTTCCCTGAGTGGTTAAGAGAGCAGCGGAAGGTTTATCAGTATATTTCCTAAGAACAAGGACATTCTCTTAGAGAACTACAGTACAGTTATCAAAATCAGGAAATTTAACATGAATCCAATGCTGTTTTCAAATCCAGGCTATAATTAGAGAGAGAGAGAGAGAGAGAAACCCCTAGCAGGGTTTTCATGCTGCGATCCACCCCCAGCCCCAGATGATGGGCACGCTCACGCGCAGTGGTTTCCGCATGTGAGCTTGGGACCTTCCTAGGGGTCAGTGTGGCCGAATGCTGTTTCGCTGCCGCACTAACTCCTGGCCCCTCAGCCCGATAGCCTTTTAAAAGTTTCCGTGGTCTGGGATATAGATGTAGTACGGGATCACGCACTGCATCTGCCATGTCTCTTTAGTCTCCTTTTAATCTGGAACAATTCCTCAGCCTTTTGTGACATGGCGTTTTTAAAGAGTATAGAGCTGGGCCAGCTCTATGGCCTGGTGGGAAAGGCAGCCAGGTCCCACATGGACCTCGTGGTTCAAATCCTGGACCCAGCAACTTGAGAAACATGTGGGGCGTGTGTACTAATGTGTCGAAAATCCTGAAAGGAGGGAGAAATGGAAGAGAAGGGATTGTACCGTGACTGTTCCCTGAGGGGATGCTTTCTCCTTTTCTCGGCCTGTCTGTCTCTGGCAAGCATGTGTTCTCTAAAGGGGAAAAAAAAGTTAGATTCATTATTTTATAAGTTGTCTTTCTACTTTTAATTTTTTGTTTTTGATTTTTGCCATAGGATGCGTGCGCTTGCTTGAGAGACAGAATCAGAGAGAGAGTGAGAAATCACCCTCGGGGGAAAGACCATACCACAGTCTCTTCCCTTCCACTCTCTTTGGGATTTAGGGTGCACACACACATGTGCTTGGCATGATTTTCAGGCCACTGGGTCTAGGACTGCAACTGCAGAATCTGCCATGTGGGATTCAGCACCTTAACCTCCACGCCACCTCTTGGACTTTACATGTGTCTTTCGTTTTGGATGTGTCTGCTTTTCCTCACCACAGATTCAGGTGGTGCTTGCTTGGGCACCAATGCCATTGTTGACACAAGTTCTCGGTGCGTCAGATGGCCTGTGTTGTCTGTCCTGACGTTGGCTTTGATGGGTTGGCTAGGATGGCATTCCCCAGTTTCTCCAGTGTAAAGTTAGCTTTGTAATAATTAGAATAGAGTAGGACTCTTATTCTGACCTGGCTGCAGTGGTTGCAGGACACTGCTATACGAGGCTGGAGTCTCGTGGAGGCCTACGTCTAGCTCTTGAACCAGTTCGAATGGGCTAGTTCCTGTTTTCCTAGCTAACTGGGAGGCCAGAGCAGAGGACTGGAACTGCGAGACCCTGTCAAAAATACCTCTCTTCCCCGCTGTATCTTCCCCTTCCACCCTCTGTGTGTGATCTCTCTCTCTCATACTAAAAAAAAAAACAAACAAAAAACAAAAAAAAACCAAACTTATTCCTCATCTAACTTTTGCCCACTATTTTAAGCATCTATTGATATTTCCTAACTCTGTTAGTCTTGCTGTAGTTACCTTGTGGCGTTCTAAGAGCTTTCCTCCTTCTCTAGTTATATGTTTGTTATTTTCATCCATGTGGGCTGGATTTCTGTTTTATTCAGTGGGTTATAATCCATTGTTCTTATTATTTATGTTATGATTAAATCATTCCAGATTTAGCCCGTGGGCTCCCTTTCAAGCTGGCTACTATGCCCATTGGACATGTCCGCACATTTCTTTCTGTGCTTTCTAGCACAGTGTTGTGCCACCAGGGTCATCTCGTACTTCCTAAGGAGCCCTAGAAACTTTTTCATGAACAGCACCAATACAGTGTATTCCAAAACATAGTTTACTTTACATGACCAGTGGGGATTTTATTTATGTTATTTGGAACTCTTGTTTACATGTTCTTGCGAGAGAAGACCTTGTGACTATCTCATGAATGACTTTCTTCTTATAATACTTGAAGACTATAAATAGAGAATTCAGATTTTCCTTGTAGATAATTTAAGCTAGAGTATGTACCAATGTTGGCATCCATAGTGGGGTCTGGTCTTAGCTGTTATTACTAAACACTGATTAACTACCTGAAATTTTAATTAGTACAACAACCTTGTGGAGCAAGGGGTGGTTTCCCTTCGTTAAACATAGGAAACGGCTGGAACCAGCAGATGGCAGAATAGTTACATTGCTGGACTCCTACGTACTCTGTTGTGGTTTGAGTCCCAAACCTGGTGATTTAAACTCATGCTGGCGCATGTGTGTGCATGCCCCAAATCCCGAGAAGAGAATAAAAGAATAAAGTGTGGCCATTTCCCTGGGAGGTGATTTCTTGCTTTCTGTCTACATGTGTCCTGTAGCAAAAATCTCTCTTTAAAAAAAAAAAATTTTTTTTTAAGAAAATAAAAACATAGGAAATGGCTCACAGAGGTTGATCCAGAGTCGTCACACAGCTAGTGAATGGTTGAGCCAGGGTTTCAATTCAGTTTAGTCTGACTTCACGGCTCATTTTTCGGATACACGTTGTTATGATATAACCCATTTCTTTACTCTAAATTATGGAATTTATACATGTTGCAGTTAAATAGCCAAAAGTTTATTTCTGGTTTAAGGTCTTTCTCTTGCATAATTCTGTGTGTGTTTGAAAATCAAGTCTGAAAGATTGAAAGTATGTGGTTCATCACATTGTCTCTCTCAAAGAAAAGTTGACTTGGTTTGATTGGAGTGAGTCAGCTGTCCTAGCATTTCTTTAAATACCCAGAAATTCTCTAACCCTTTTATTTTCTCTCTATAGGAATTTGCTTGCTAGAAAACAAAATTCAAGACTTGACAAACAAAATGACTTGGGATGGAAGTTATTTGGAAAAGTTCCACTGCGAGAGAGTGCTCAGAAAGATTCAAAGAAGATACAAAAGGTATACGAGATGTTACGGTAACACAGAAACACGCTATTCTGTGTGTAAGCATGTTTATGAACTGTGTATAAATGACCATTATTGAGCTCTGAAATCTGAAAATCCTGTCTTACTGTGTTCCGAGTCCCTAAAATTTAGGTCCATATTCGAAATGTGGATGAATTTAACCTTTTTCATTATAGCTTGTATGGTGCACATAGGAAAGTTCAGTTGACAGAGATGGGCTGTCGATAGTTATAACTCAATTTAATTAATCTTTTCATAAATAGTCACAAATTTTTATTAATTGATATTAAAGCATTCTTCCCTGGGTTTCTTGGGTTCCACTGGTTTCTTGGAGCTTAAGTCCTTCCAGTGCTACTCTGGGACAGGAGGACTAGGTCCCTCATTAACCCAGGCTCCAGCAGGACCCTCACCTCTTGCTCACTTCAAAGTTGCCAACATATGGGCTAGGGTGGGTTCAGGGTCAGGTCAGGCCTATAGTGTTGTCACCACTGGGCTGCCCTGCTCCTTGGTCCTTCATGGGGTTAGTGCCAGTAGCTGGAGACATGTGCTCATCATTGCAAGGAGGGGGCTTGTGCATGGACTCAGCAAGCCTGAGGCCTAGGCAGCCCATATTGTTCCTACCTGCAGTTTCTCCTAGACGCGAGTCCCAGCCATCTTGGCATCCTGTCACCCTGCTGTTTGCCCAGTGCTGTGACATTGCCCCAGCAGCCTTATTGCTCCAGTATGAATTTTATATTCATTGACAACTGTTCAGTAAACACTTTTGAGCCTACTAAGTGCTAGGTCTTATGCTTGGCACTAGAGTAGGAGAAAGGGCTCCAGAGCACCCCTGATTCCAGGATGTGCGCCTAAGGAGTACCACAGGTGTGAGGAGGGCGACGCAGACCATTGAGTTCAACGGTTTGTCAGAGTTCATTGTTATGGGGCTCATGTACTGTGTGATGATTATGTGCTCATTTTAAGTGACTCAGCACTTACAGCTCTAGTTCATTTAAAACTTGGAGCAGCCTTGTGAGAGAGATACCATTTCCATCCTCAGTTTTCTGAAGAAGCACTGAGACACAAAGACATAGTAACTTGTGCAGAGTCGTGCAGCCAGTGAGTCGGAACATGACCCCAAGCAGTCAGCTAGCAGGTAGTGGGGACAATATGGGCCAAAGGACAGTGTGCAGTGTGAGCCCTGGAGGTTAACCGCGGGGAACAGCAAGAGGATGCTGTTCACAGGGCCTGTTTGGTGTGTGTGGTCCTAACCTGAAGGCTTTTCAAAGCCTCTGAGGGTTTCCCTCTGTAGAAAGTGATGAGATCCTGGCAAAAGCATGGCCCTTGGACTGGTTCAGGTGATAGAAGGTGGGGTCTGGCCCAGGGCTGTGGGCTTTGTTGGGTACAGGGCACTGTATGGCCCCTTTGGGTACTGTGCAAACAGGACTGATAGATTGTCCAGTACCTCATCAGGTGTGGGGTGCCATGTGTGGGGGTGAGGCTGTGAGCATGGTGCTGAAGCCTGGGCTACAGGGTGGGTTTCCACAGAGTGCATTTTTTGTGCCTTAGCAAATTAAATTTGTTTTGGATGTCCTGTGACATTCCCTACAGTAATTGTCTGGACCTGGGAGACTCACTGAGTTAATCAGCGTTAGAATTCATTGTTGTAGGTGGTTAAATGGTGAGTTTGAATCACTTAATGTGTGTAGGCTTATTAAAACAGCATACAATTAAAATGTGATGAGTTTGTAGGCAAAGCTCAGCTATAAATTTCTAAGAAAACTTAAGTACCCATGCTGTTATAAAGTTTTTAAAGAAATCTACACTTTAAAAACAATTTTGCTACATAGATTTTTTTTCCCCATGGCTCTTAATGTCACTTGTTTCATGTTTGAATTTGTCTTTTTACTACCCTATTTTTTTAAGTTGAATGTGGATTATGTTCTTGACCTTAAAGGATGTGTGTGTGTGTGTGTGTGTGTGTGTGTGTGTGTGTGTGTGGTGAACTGAAATGACTAGGCTCGCTTATTATGTGGAAACACAATATGGCAAGCAGGAGAACCACCTGGCTTGATCATCAATAATAAAGCATGTAATTGTACCTTCCTGAGTCATACAGTCCTGGCCATGATCTGCTTGCTTGTGCTTTGTGTGTCTGGCCCTCTCATCTCTCATCGCTTGGCCTCAGTTGGCAAAGCCTGAAAGGGATTCAGGGACCTGCTACTGCGGGGAGGCTTCTGGGCACCAGCTTGAGCTGGCTGCTGTCACAGGTGTCAGTGCACACAGCCCCCACTTCAGCGAGGTAGGTGCTAGGGCCCTGAGGCTTGTCTCCAAGATGGCAACAGTAATTCCAGCTAGAGCTAATGCATAAATAAGGTGTTTAGGAAACTCTTAATTCCTTTTCCTTCTCTCTTAAGAATGTTTTTTAAATGAGAAGAGCAGCATCACGTGGTGATTTAAGAACATGGACTTTGGAGTCATACTGCCTATGTTTGTGTCCCAGCTCTGCCACAGTTTGGCTGTGTACAAGTTGCTTAGCCTTTCTGAGCCTCATTTTCCTCATCTGTAGAATTTGGAGAATAATAATACCTACCTCCAGAGGTGTTGAGGATTAAAGGGAAAATACATGTGCTTAGAACAGTGCTGAATGCAGTAAGTGCTAGCAGAGTTTGCTGGGATCATCGTTCCTTTCTGATGACAAATCTACCTTGAACCATCGGAAATAGGAGGAAAGGATCCTGTGCCCTTCAGTAGACTTCTTCACATGCTTGTCCAATACTTCCTGTACCATGCTGAGGCCAGGAGCACAAAAGCCTGTGGGCTGTCCGGCCTCAGGAAGCCTGGGTTGAGCTGTGTAGACAGCCTTGCACCCAGTCGAGAGCTCTGGACTCTTGCAGACTTGGCTTTGATTTCTGGCCTCATCTCCTCTTGCCTGTATGAACTTGGACCAATTATTTCTTCTTGGTTTCCTCATCTGCTAAGTGGGCAGAATGATACCTCTCAGTAGGTGTCACTCTGTAAGAGATAGTTTTGTGACATATTTTACACAAGGTTTAGCACGTGTGTGGCCCAGTGTCAGTGCTCACGGAGTGGCTATCCTGACTTCTAGTTAGTGAGTCGGCCCAGTTTGTGGTGTTGGTGCTGCGTGTTGTGTGCCCAGGACTCCTTGGGGGACATCTGACTTCATTCTAACTGGGCACATTCTCTTGGCTTATGGTTCTCCGATATGCTGGTTTTTTTTGGGAAATGATGAAATGTTACCTTCAGTTATCTTTTCAAATTTCATAAGAATTTTGAAAATCAAGCCATATTTTCCATCAGCTTATATTATGACTTCACAGTTCTTTTTTTTTTTTTAAGTTTTTGCTATAGGGCTCATGTGCTTGCCAGAGGGCAGGGAGGGAGGGAGGAAGGAAGGAGAATCACCCCGTATGGGGAATGGCCATGCTGCAGTCCCCCTCCTCCATTCTTTCAGAATTTTGGGCATGCACCATATGTGTCCAGTGTATGTTTCATGCTGCTGGGTCCAGGACTGGAGCTGCTTGGTTGGCCATATGGAATCTAGCCACCTTAACCATCATGCCACCAGCTGGCCTGAGAAGATTTCTTAATAGAAGAAACAAAGATGACCAAGGATAGGAGAATCGCGCTAAAATAGTGGTTTGCAAAGTGTCGTCTCCGGACTACTTACTTTGTTGTCGTCACCTGGGCATTCATTAGAGCTATACATCCTCAGTCTCACTTCAGACACATTGAAACTAGGTGGGAGCCGGGGCCCAACAAGTGTGCTGTAACGAATGGTACAGGTAATTCCAACGTACTCTAAAATTTAAGAACCATGGCTTTGCAAGAGGGAGTATCAGAAATTGGGAAGGAAACAGCCATCTTTGCTGTAGCAGGTTAAATAAAGGGCCTAAAGCACACTGCTATATAACTTTCAGTAATTGCTAGTGAGCCAGAGAAGTCTTTGAGGATACTGATGGGAGGACTACATATTTTTAAAAAATAATTATTTATTTTATTCATCATCATTATTACTATTTAAAAAAAAATTGTTACAGGGCATGCACTCGCCAGAGAGAGACACAGAGAGGGAAAAGTGAGAAAGCAAGTTGTCAGGTCCAGGACTTGCACTGTGGTCATCCATGTGGGGGGCCCAGCGTCTTAACCACCACACCACTTGCTGGCCCTGGGAGACTACTTGAAGAGAGCTGCCTTGGGATATTTTCATGGTGGGTTTGTATGGACTGGGGTCCTGGCTAGCTTGGTGTGGATGGTGAAACTGCCTTGGAAGCACAGTCCTTTGCCTTGTGATAAAGGGGAACCTTCTTCCTTGGATTCCACGGTCCTTTCATTCTTTCCACAAATTCAAGCCACTGAAGAGATCTGCCCGGGGATTACAATGAAGAGCAAGACAGACCTGAACCTTGCCTTCTCTGCAGTTTACTATGGACCGAGGAAAGACAGATATAAACAGCTCTGTAAATAAAGAGTGCAGTTGTGATATGTGTAAGGAAGAGTCCAGGGTGTAGTGATCATACAGTGTTAGTCCCAGCAGCACATTTCTCTGAAATAAGTTTTTTCAGGTGACTGCCACTTGCCAAATGTGATGGTTATTCTTTAGCCTTTGTCTTCATTGACCCGTCAGCAGTTTGGCCTCAGCTGACCTCACCCCTACTCCTTAAGAGGCCTCATCCCTGTGTCTGGGCCACCTACTCTTCCTCCGCTGGAGTTTCCTTTGCTGTTTCTCTTATCTTCCCAACCCTCTCAATGATAGAGTGCCTTTCAGCACATCCATGTGTACAGTCGCTCACTCTCTGGGGCGTCTTGGCTGGACTAAGGCTTTAGCGGCTAAGCCTACATTGACCACTCCCATGCTGGTCTCCAGTTGGGTCTTACACCCTGAACTTCATGCTTTAGCAGCTAGATAAGAGACCTTTAAAAAGTAAATTTGAAACTTTATAATTTGAGCAGAGACTTAGGGATGAAAACATCCGGGGATGCTGGGAACCAGC